ATCTGAAAGCGAGGGGGTAATCACTACGAAAAGTAGGTGTACAGATTTCCATAAAAGTTGAAGTGAAAGTGGCAAATAGTTGACTGAAAGCGATGAAAACTGAAAGAAAATGTCGACAAAAGCGACTTATCGTGCGTTGATCAGATCAGAAATGAATAAAATAGAGGGGATATAGGCATAGTAATGAAGTACTCGTTGTAAAACGGTGAAAAAGTGAATAAAAGTGGAAAAGTGAAAAGTTGAGGTGTACGCATTTTCACGGAGTGATTACCCCCTCGGCTCCAAATGAACAAATATATACATAAACAGTTAAAGCCTTTCGTAAAAAGATCAAAAAACGCAAGCAGACAGCATTGAAGAAGGACAGGAAATGTGTCACAGAGATAAAAGACCCCTGGTGGGACTGCGGAAGCGATTTGGATACCCACACTCCTTAACAAATGCCTATGTTCACGTCCAAATCTTGTCCGTAGTACGTACGCATCCGCATTTGTTTCAAATTGGATGCCGTCATCCGCATCTACAGTCTATCCACAACTTATCCGCATCATCCACTGTATCCATTACGTTTCCGCACGTATCCAACTCATCCGCGTTGTGTCCCGCATCCGCAGCTCATCCAATCTATCTGCAAAGCGTCCGCAACCAATCCGACGCCTCCGCAGTGCATCCGCAGTGCATCCGAAACATATCGGTTGCATCCACAAGCTATCCGATGCATCCGTAATGCACTGCGGATGCACTGCGGATGGGTTGCGGATTCATCGTGGATGCATCGGATAAGATGCGGATGCACTGCGGGTGTGTTGAATAGCTCACGGATGCACTGCGGAAGCGTTGCGGGTGCATCGGATAGGTTTTGGATGCACTGCGGATGCGTTTGGGATGCATCGGATAGGTTGCGGATGCAATTCGGATGAAGTGATATTGATTGGCTGAGCGATTAGCGAAACCAATGACTCCAGTGATGATCAAAAAGTTTCGCGTCTGTCTGTTTGTCTGTCAGTAAGCACGATAGCTCGAGAACGGTTTTAGCTAGAAGGCTCAAATTTTTATTGTAACTTTTTACCATAAAAAGCAAGAACAGCATTGATTTTGAGCCCTCTATCTTAAAAATTGACCTGTCAACAAAATCAAAAACGAAAAACCCAAAATATTACTTTAATTTTTTTTTTGCATCTCTCCAGCACGTAACTCGTTAAAGTAAAGCCCTTGGGCTAAAATTTTGTCCGTTTGGCTCTATCTCTAACCGTTTAGTCGCCAGAGGGCGATTTCCACACGAAAATGACCCCAAGACATTGTAATGATGTTTTTAGATATTTGATGGTCTCTGATGGGGCAACTCGTCAAAATAAAATCCTGGGGGTAAAATTTGCGTTCTGTGGTCTGTGGAGCCGCAGGCCTAGGTAGATGTATGCCAGGCGCGTCGCAGCGTAACAGTGTTTCGTGAGATATCGCGAAGCCTGTTACGCGAGACGTGGTTTGGCGT